TAGGGCAGTGTAGCTCATAATAGACATTCTGTAAAAATGTGTTAACTTTCGTGGAACTTTTACCCAATAATTTTACCCACAGAAGATTTTGTTAATGATAAAGATGGTAATCTCCTGTGAAAGATATTATAAATTCAAGGTCTTTCTAAGTCCTAAAGGCTCACTGCTAAACACAGGTACTAATGGAGCAAAGTTTTACATATTGGTATTGTCTGTCTTCCCAAGGCAGGTCTAGCACAGAATGTACTTAATAAATTTTTGTTGAAAAATGTGCAGTCTTAGTTATTGCCCCACACACCCACTCTTACTTGACTGCATGAGAAATCTTTATTTATAAGGGCCTACTGCTCAGGCAACTAGAGATCCCAGAAGCTAAAGGGGTTCTGGGAGATCAATAGAAATCACAGTCGTACTGTCACTGGAGATACACTAATCCTGATAAAAAGCAATGCAGTGAAGTAATAGATACTATTTTTTGAATTCCTACTATGTACTTCACATACATTGTTCCAGGTCTTTTAGTCTTTAAAGTCCAAAGTCTTTCCCTCACTGTCTTCATTGCAAGAAACACCTGAAGTACGTGTCCCAGCATCAGAGCAGCATGAAGAACCATCCCTTAACAACGCGAGCCAATCTGTATTTTAGTCATTTGTAGAACGAGGAACTTCATGTAAATAACCTCTGATTCCATCCATCTCTAACATGATATATTTCCTTCACTTGAAAGACCCAAATATTACTTAGTAAATCTTGTCTTAAAAGAGATTCCAATATTCTCTTACTTTGTAATTAGCAGACTACATTTAGTTGTACTAGGTAACTAGTCAAGAGTGCTGTTTGAGTTTTATTAAAAACATTTAAAAGTAACTTTATGCTGGTAAAATATTTAGTGGACTATGTTAGATATTATTGAAAGCAAAAATCATAAATGACTTTTAAGTATCAATGGAACTAGAAAGTATTATGCTGAGTGAAATAAGCCAGGTGTTGAAAGACAAATACCATGTGATCTCACCTTTAACAGGAAGATAAATAATGAAACAAACAAGCAAGCAAAACAAAAACAAAGACACTGAAATAGAGAACAGGGGGACAGTGACCAGAGGGGAGAGGGGAGGGAATTTCAGGGGGAAAAGGGGAAGGATTTACAGGAACTAGTATAAAGGACACCTGGACAACAACTGAGGGGGGTGGAAATGAGAGGGAGGTGGGGAGCACTGGGTGGGGGTTGGGATGGGAGTAAAAAACAGAAAACTGTACTTGAACAATAATTAAATAAATTTAAAAAATAATTAAATAAAAAACATATCTGTAAAAAAAAAAAGAAAAAAAACTGTGTTGATTAATGAGAGAGACAGACAGACAGACATTGGTTTGTTGTTCCGCTTATTTATATATTCATTGGTTGCTTCTTGTATGTGCCCTGACTGGGGATCGAGCTCATAAACTTGGTGCACTGGGATGACATTTAACCAACTGAGCCACTGGCCAAGGCCTTAAGTATCAATTTTTAGGTTGTTTTTAAATCAATATTTTGGGTTGAAGCTTGTGTTTGGAGAGTGGTGATGGTAGTAGATTATGTTGTTTTAAACAAAGCCTGACTGGCAAATTCACTTACTGAATTATCTTCCCATTTATACATTTGTTCTCCTAATGCAATACAGATTATTACGTCTGTATTCTAAGATTGACCATGAAGACACCTGTCTTGCAAAATATTTTACATATTTATATTGTGATAGGACACTGCATTCTATTTTGGAAAAAGATTCCGCTTCAAAACCATTTGCCATTTGAGTATTGTTAATTTTTTTCAATAAGTCTCTGTAACAAACCCTTAAATGTAAATCTAAGCACATGACTTACTATTATATCCATGGTGATGGAGGACGAGGGAGAAGTGGCAGTTAAATGATTCATCTAAGTGCAAACTTGATCACTAGCTCTGCACGATGTTGCAGAAGTGAGGGGAACCAGGTTTGCTAAAGTAATTGTGGTGATAAACATGTATTAGCCTCAGGAGCTACTGAGGTGGTCCATTCTATCCTAGTACAGTGTAAAAAACAATAAAGTAATTAATCTCAGAATGCAAGTTCCCTGAAGGCAGGAGTGTCGCCATGTTCACTGTTCTATCTATAGAACTAAGAACATTTGTTGAATGACTGAGTGTTATGTCTCTCTGCCCTTACCATTGTGGTTGTAGCTCAGAGGAATTTTCACTGTTGGTGCAGAAATCCTCCTTTGGAATCTGGATCTCATGTTCAGTGGGAATGGCTGGCTCAGGAATAGTTGGCATAAGATTTACTAGGGTATTGTCTGGATTTTTGTCCTTTGTGTAGCTGCCACTGCTCCAGGGAAAGGAAGCCAGTTTTGGAGAGAATTTCCTGATGGGTAACTTTAGAGTGCTCTCTAATTTCTCCACTCCTTTTCCTTCTGAAAAATATAGTCACTAGTTCAGGTAGAAGCAGAGAATCTTCCTCTTGGCTCAAGGTTGAATAGGACAGAGCAGGGAGATCCTGAAGAATAATTACCTGGGGAAACAGAGTCTTGCTGTGGAGACTGCAGTCCCAGCCTCATTTTCTGCAAGGCGCTTGGATTCTCCAGAATGTCCAGAAAATACTTCTGTGATAATCAAGGTGCAGACTTCCTCTGAAAAGGGAGGAGATTCAACGTGACCAGAATATTTGGGCATCCCAATTTCAACAGTTGGATGTTTGGTGTCAGGAGACCTCCTTCCTGCCTCTGTGCACAGTTCATGAATCACAGATACTATACCAAGTGGAATTATATAGGAGGAATGCATGCTCTGTGAGGACAGGAACTGTGGCCAAGAATGGAACCTGGAACCTGGCCATAGTCTGTACTCAGGAAATAGGTGTCGTGTGAATGAATAGAAGAATAAATATACTTAAAGATTCCAGTTATCTTGTTTCTTCTGTCTTCAAGAGTTGGCATAGGGTAGAGTTAAACCTGCTCATGAAGGCAAAAGTAATTTAGGAGACAAAGTATTCTGATACTAATTTTGACTTAGTCATTTATTACCAAGATGTCGAAAAATTGTACTTACCAGGAATGGATGATAAACAAGCTCCTGAAATATAAAACAAGAGAATAGAGAATTTAAATGATGACAGTTAATTTAGTTGGGAGTGTGTGTGTGTGTATATATATATATATATATATATATATATATATATATATATATAACTTTTATATATATATATATGAGAAATAACTTGAAGAAATAACTTATAATAACTCATAATAACTTGAAGAAATAACATATATAAGAGAAATAACTTGAAGAAAATACAAACTTGGTTATAATCTGGAGTCAGAGATTATAAATTCTGTAGAAAAGATGTGTAAAGAAACAAATACTTGGCAGGGTGCTGGAAATGTATTTTAGTTCTATTTTACCACAAAACTGCTCTGTGATTTTGTGGAAATTACTTTTCTCCTTTGGGCCTTTGTTCTGCATCTCTAAAATGAGTTTAAGACCAGGTAATATCTCTTCACCGAATGTGAATCATTTCTACACTAATCATGAGGTAGCCTTTTCTCCCAAGAAAAATCTTTTCTTTTCATATCTTTAAAATAAAGTTAAATACATTATAAAAGTACTGTAGTATTACTGTAGAAAAATACACCAAAGGTTAATAATACTGTTCTCTGGGTGGTGAGAAAGAAATGGGTAATTTAAAGTTTCTTTTTTGTGTTATTATAGATTTTCTAGATTTATTATAATAAATTTTAAAGTTTTATAAAAATGCAATAAATGTTATTTTAAAAAGAAATATTAAGCCCTAGCTGGTGTGGCTCAATGGACTGAGTCCCAGCCTGCAAATCAAAAGGTCACGTGTTTGATTCCCAGTCTAGGACACATGCCTGGATTGTGCCCTAGAGAAACATTGATGCTTCTCTCCCTCTCTTTCTCCCTCCCTTCCCTTCTCTAAAATAAAACAAATAAAATCTTAAAAACCAAGAAATATAATTGTGTAATACAGATGTTTCTTAAAGGTGATGTGCAAATGTTCAGTTGTTTTGAATTGACATATAAATGAATATATTTTCTTTACTTGGCTCAGGAACTATCTTGGACTCGAACCCTAGCTGCAGCATTTACTAGCTTTGTGACCTTGGACAAAGTATTTAATATTTCTGACGTTAAGGTCTTTTTTTTTTTAACTTAGAAAATGGGCCCTGGCTGGTGTAGCTCAGTGGATTGAGCACGGGCCTGCGAACCAAAAGATCACGGTTTGATTCCCAGTCAGGGCACATGCCTGGGTTTCAGGCCAGTTCCCAGCAGGGGCCAGTTCCCAGCAGGGGTCACATGAGAAGCAACCATACATTGATATTTCTCTCCTTCTCTCCTTCCCTTCCCTTCTAAAGATAAATAAATAAAATCTAAATAAATAAATAAAATTATAAAAAAAAAAGAAAATGGAGGTAATAGTACATACCTCAAAATGTTGATGTGAGGGTAAGTGAGAAATTTTTATAAAGTATAAACTTAGTATTTACCATGAGGGGTAGCATGTTTTTTACCCTCCCCTAAATTAATTATTAATTATTTTGTAGGACACTTACACAGTAAAGTATTTAGAAAGTTATGTATTGGTTTTCATTTGTTTCACTCTTTTAAAAAATATGTTTATTCTCACATCTTTTCTTGTTTGTATGCCAAGAACTCATTGGGAAGATAGTTAAGATAATTTGTGAAAATTAACCAGTTCTTTCACAGCTATTAAAACTATTTCATTCAAAACAAAACAGCTATCTTTTCTTTTTGATTGTTTCTATTGAGGAATCATTTGGATTTAAAATAACAACAGTAGAAATTTCTGAGTCTGCAACATATCAACTATTAAGTTTTTAAACATGAATTACATTTCAAGGTTAATTGGAATAAAAAGCAAATTGAAAATCTGATCATGATACTTTTCCTCAGAATCTGAAAATCATCTGTGTCTGCTCTCTGCTCTTTCTCTCTGTCCCAGTGAACTTGCACTGTGGCTGTAGCCTGGACTCAGCGTTCAAACATGACGAATTGACTTCTGGTGGTAGAGCTGTTTTGAAGATGCTGAAGAACAAACAGAATTCCCAGAATGGAGGAAACTTTCACCATACTTGAACACAATGATTTGGGATGCCATTGAAGTAAGTGTGTATGCTTTTTCACCATAATTATTGACAACTGAGTGTCTCTTAATCAAAACAAGGAGCTGCTGGGCATTCTTTTGTGCTTTACAGTATGCTTTACAGTGAGGCATAAGTTATTTTTATCTTAATTTCATAGGGTTGTGTTTAATGAGAAAGTTGTTATTTACTCTCCAAGAGCCATTTTTCAAAATAGAAAACAGATTAGTTGAAAAGTCTTTTACTCGATTGTATTATTTTGTTGAGTACATATATAGTCATGATTTAATCTTTATTATTGATCTAGTAGTATGGGCAGTGTTGTAATTTGTTAAGGATCAGAATCATGACTTAGAAGACTTGAGCCAAAATCTCAACTCTGCCACTATCTTGTTGAAGCTGATCCTAGGAACTTGGAAGACTCTTAATCTCTGTGGACCTCAGTTTTTATATCTGTGAAATAAGTCTACAAAAATGTTCAGCCTACCTTGAGGATTTGAGGCTCATTTCAGACAAATAATCTAAAAGCTTTCAAGAATGAAGAGTTATATTGATATATTAAAAAGTATTTACTGACAATATCTAGTTTAGTCTCACATAAATGCATACATGAATGGGTAGCATTTGTGATAAATTTCCTCCTCAAGTCCTCACCCTCCACTTTCTATTTCTAGCCCCAGGGACCTCTAGAATCTAGAATTATATTTTAAATTATAACTTGATCCTGAGACCAGAGAGGGAGTAGCTGAAGTCCTTCTCTTGGGTGAGGCCTAGTTGAGACATAATGACCACCAGCCCAGTACTTGAGGCCTGATGCCGGGGACCCGCATATCATAGGGAAGGAATGCAGCAGGTGACGGACGAGACTTGTGGCAATAATCGACATCTGTGGCCTGACAGCATCTGCTGAAAGTGAGCTTCCAGGATCAATAGCAGTGCTTCTTTCTCTTAACGACATTGTTTCCTATGTCACCCATCCCGTATGTGGTACAGGTTAAGTGTCTACCCTGCTTCTCACACTGTGGACCAGCAATGGGCAGTGGTTCCAGTTCTGTTAGGTTTGGAAACTGGGAGGCAGAGAGCCCAGAGGACTTCAACCTTAGCTTGGTTTGACCCAGCTGATTAAATCCTGCTGTTTCTAGTAGATGATACAGGAGACTTGTCAATCCTGATTTCTGACTGTGACCAAAGAAGGAAATAGATATTGCTTTGTGCATTGACTTCTCCATAACGATGTCTCTTAGCTGGTTAGGAGACTTTGATAAACCTTGAGGTGAGGCAGAGCTGAGTCTGCTTTGAGAGGACAGTCCACTAAGGATTGCCCTTCAGAGCTAGAGGATTGACACAGAGCAAAAGTCTAAGGCACGTAGGATAAACCATGAGTTGCTCTCTGACATTTCACCCTTTCTGGAACTCAGTTATCTCTGATAGAAAATAATAATAATCTTTGAAGTCCTTTTTAGTTCCCCCTTTCCTCCTTTGTACCTCTTTGATAATGCCTACAATTTATCTGTAAAATCCAAACTTTGTCATGCAGTATGGATAGGTTACCCTGGTAAATAGGGAGGCCACAACACAAGTGGACTGTGACAGGCTGCTGCAGGGACTCTGCATCTGGTTTAAGAAATGGAAGAGAAGCCATCATCCAGAGTGTCAAGGCCCTGAAACTCAGGTGAACAGTGGCTATGAAATGACTGGATCAGTTTTAACTGCTACCAACCACACCCTAAGTTTCCTGTTTGAAGAGGATAATGCTTCTGATTTAGATGTCACATTCGATCCTGGAATTGCCACCTTTTTTCTGTCTCCTCCAGCATTTTCATTAGCTAAGATGGTGAAATAGAACACTGGGAAATTACATTTGAGAAATGAGTATTGGCAATTTTTAGAGACTATATATTAAAGGTTTCTAAATTTTACTGAATAGATTTTTTCCTCCTCCATACAGTTGCTCTTGTATCTTTTAGGTTTTTGAAAAAGCATCTTCTCCCGCCCCCATTTTTTAAAATAGGAAACTCATTCCTTAGATAGTTAGAATACTTTTTATGGGACTGAGCTCCTAGATACCAACTGTCCCTTTTGATCTGGTCCACAGACAAATGGCCAACCCACAGAACTACCATGGAGTTATTTCTGAGACCCATGGATTTCTTTGTTGTTTTCTCTGAGGCCATGCAGCTGGAGGCTCTTCTCATGTTTACTACTTTTCCAGAAAGTTGCATTCATGAATGCAACTTCTCCTCTGGACCTGTATCTCTATTACCAGGACCCCTCCAAAGGCTTTGAAAACTGAACCCACCCTCTGGGGGTCAATATGCAATGGTTGAACTAAGGGAGAATAACTTGCTCTGATGTTGGAGGTTTTATTAACCTGGGAACTGATGGTCAGAGAACCTCTAGTGGTTTTCTTCTTTATCCTGTGGAGGAACAAAACCAAACACAATCCAGTGAAAGAAAGATTAGAGGTGGCTTTGATAGAAATGCCCAACTGTATACATTTGAATGTATCACATTTTAAACCTATAATCCTTATTTTTCTTTTGATTTGCATATTAATTTTATTTTTCCCTTTTGACCAATTATCAGGGGATTATGTCTTCTCATAGTTTTGTTTTAAACTTTCTTTGTCTTAGTCCAATAGTCAGTGGGCTGTTACTAAACACTTAAATTATGCATAAGAAATAACTTATAAAGCAAATAAGAATTTAAAGTTTGGGCACTTTGGGGGTATATTTTTATAAGTAGAATTCCCCTTATATTCATGTGCAACAAATGCACTTCACATGTACCTTTTGTACTTACTCTGTCATTTCTGTAGCATATCCTCTTCAAACACAATCACAGAGAGAAAATGTTTTCTTACTTCCCTGGGTACCTACAAGAAAGAGAAAAAAGAAATTCTGTCTAAATTCATTGGAATTTAATAAAATTTAGTTCAACTGATTCTACTCACACTAGGTTAGTTACAGAGAGCAGGTCAATCCAGAACATCTGCATTCTGACTAAGCTGGAACTACTTTCATGTTCAAAAAATCCAGATGTTTACCTTTCCAGAACTACAGCACTTGCACCCAGTAGAGGTTTTGAGTTATTTCCCAAAACATAACTTCAGAGGGCATATATCAGTGTCTGCAAATTTATGTTGTGGTCTGAAGTAATAAGAAATCTAATGAAGCAAATTGCTGTGTTTACTATAAGAAGGATGTTGTCAGTGTTCATATATACTTCAGTCCTTAGTATCATGAATAATTGGGCTTCTCCTATGCTACTAGTTTAGTTTTTCCTCACAGATACTGCAAACCTTAATATTGGGTGTATTTCCCCTCTGTATTAGCTACTTGAAAGTCTGGAGCTCATTTTGAAGCCAATAATTCAACAGATTAGAGTCAGGATCACCTGCATTTATAATCTGACACTTTTTTAAAACTATGTTTATGATGGTTTATTTACCCAATTCAACATTTGGATCATATGACCCCACAAAGAACTTTTGGTTCTATATCTTTCATTGTCATTAGTTACATGGCCTTGAGCAAGACCCTTTGGGTTCTCAGTGATCTCATATCTAATGAGAAATGAGAAGTGGGATGGTCCCTAAAGTTCCTCTAGATCCATTTGGTCTTTAAAATATTTTTAAATCTCAAGGTCTGATTATGCTTTAAAAATCACTAATTTATAATTACCAGAATAGATGAAATTCCATGAGAGGATAAGATAAATAAAGATGAACATTGGACTAAAAGCAAAGACACTTGGCACTTAGGGCTGTGGCTTAGACTGCCACTCCATAACACAGGGGTTTAAAAGATGGACTGAGCTTTATTATTATTTAAACAATTTAAAGTGTTATTTATTTCTGAAAGCACATCTTTTGGAAAGCACTGAGTAAATGATAAAACAAGACCAAATATGACACCCAACCACTGCCCCCTCCGACTCCCCGCTCCATCCCCCCAATCCCGGCTTCCAGAAAAGAAATAAGTTGTAAAAAAAGCTCCCTTTTAGGGACTTCCACCAAGATGGAGGCATAGGTGGAAACACTTTGCTTTCTCACACAACCAAGTTTAAAAACAACGAAGTTTTAGCAACAAAAATGCAGCCAAACCACAGAAAATCGAACTACATGGAAGTCTGACAACAACGAACCCTTCAGCCAAACTGGTAAGAGGGCAGAGCCAGCAGTGGAGCTGGTCAGGCAGGAAAGACCCACTGGACTGACCCAGGCTTGCGCCCGAGGCCTGCCAGCAGCCATGGGTGGATCCCAGGTGTGGAGTAGCAGTGGGTGGACCCACTGAGGGCTGACCGCGGTCACACATTTGTGAGCAGATAAACTATAAACTGGTGAATGAGCGGGTAGTGAGGCCCCAGCGGCGGGAAGCAGCAGAGGGGACCGCTATTGTCCCTCTCTAACCCCGCCCCCACATATAGCGTCACAAACCAGCGACCTGGATAGACCCACCCTGGTGAACACCTAAGGCTCTGCTCCTCCTACATAACAGGCATGAACAGATCAAAACATGGCTCAAGAACAACTCACAGCCCCAGAGCTGATAAGTCTAAGCAATGAAGAAATAGCCAAACTTTCAGATGTACAGTTCAAAACACTGGTGATCAGGATGCTCATAGAACTGGTTGATTTTAGTCACAAATTAGAGGAACATATGAAGGCTAAACTAATTGAAATGAAGGGAAATGCACAGGAAACCAACAGGAATGGGAAGGAAACTGGGACTCAAATCAAAGGAGTGGACTGGAAAGAGGAAAAAAATGACCAAACAGAAAAGGATGAAGAAACAAGAATTCAGAAAAATGAGGAGAGGCTTAGGAACCTTCAGGACATCTTTAAATGTTCCAACATCCGAATTACAGAAGTACCAGAAGGGGAAGAGGAACAACCATGAGTGGAAACCTTATTTGAACAAATAATAAAGGAGAACTTCCCCAATCTGGCAAAGGAAATGGACTTCCAGGAAATCCAGGAAGCTCAGAGAGTCCCAAAGAAACTGGACCCAAGAAGGCAT